ATTAGCACAGAATGATCACTGATGGAATCGGTAAATGCACTCTGCAGGTATCATTACATCCAAGGTCCCCTTTCTTTTGCAAAAAAAAAATGGCCAGCAGATAAAATAGGATTTCTGATGAGTAGCAATCGGCTAATTTAATCAATTTCACATTGTTCTGCCGCCAGAGAGCCCGTTTCCCTCATCGCATCTCAAAAAATATATAAAAGCGTGATCTATAGCATTCAATTGGCGCGCCAAGGATTAACCGGTGGGGGGGGGGGGTTTGTCAGTTATGATCAGATGCTTGGATGCCGATTTCAAATTTGATTCCTCTGCGCACCGGTGATCGCTCGTCAGGAAACATTCGGATACTTTGCTCATCGTTATTAATGCAGCGGTTAACATCTCGCTATGTTTATCTGTGTGTCTCTAATTACCAAAACGGATTATGTCACCAGTCTTTTTCTAGTGCTGCGTGTTCCATCCATATTAATCTTTTAATGAGTGTAACACCTGCACGTACAGAATGAATTAACTCCGTAAGGGCTTTTTTCTTCTTCTTTGTAACTCCATAGACGTCAGTGAAAAGTGACCGATGCGCTTTTTGTAAGAAGACAGTGGCTTTTTCACAACCTTGCAGTTGACTATGTGCACATGAAATGCCAATCAAGGCAATTAGAGACGTGGCACATCTGATTTATGCAGCAACCCTTAAGGGTATTGACGTGAGTTGTCATCATGCATCAATCCCATGTGACATGACATTGAACTCCAACGTCATTGGTTTGTCATCTGCTCAACTTTCTGCCTTGTGCATGATAAATATTGTATTTCGTTTTCTCTTCCTCTAAGCCCAACACAGCATGCTAAAAAGTCACAACTGTGCCCGGTGTGCAAAGTGGCGATCATTCGTTTTAAAAAGGCATTTGGTTATGGCGTTGCATCGCATAAACACGATGAAAGAGTGTTTTTTTGCATTGGAGCATGACAGAGATTGTTGCAATGGGTCCCACAAACTGACTCAGGTTTTCTATGTGAAGGTGGCCCCAGTTGCACAATGGATCGGTGACTTCACGCAGAAGCAAGTCATTGTTTAAACACCGGCGTACATCCCTCTTCCACTGGATACCTGAGCTGGTCAAAATATATAAATATTTACTTTTGTATTCCTCTATGTGCAGCATTTTCATCTGACTAACTAGGGGCTCACTTTTCCGATGTAGCAAAAAAATAATCAATAAATAAGAGTACAGTACATGTGTGAAAAGTTACAAGATAATCTACAAGGAATATGTAGACTCAAAGAAGTAGCCTCAAACATCCATCAGAGGCATCGACCCAATGCAACTCAAATCTGCAGAATCACTCTCATTCAATTTCCCCAAATGTTTTATACAAGAGCACGATCTGCTACAGACTCTTTGTGTTTTGTAAACGTAGGCAACTTTATTTTGCTTCTGGTGTTTCACTTCAGCCTATCAGTTATTGGCAAGGATATGCCAGGTTCCACACAATGGAACTCCCTGCAGTGAATGCCCTCTTCACAATTCCCTCATTCATGGATGTGCCACAGGCACAGTCACAAACTGACTTAACCGCCTTCAAAAATCAAACATACCAATTAAATGTTTTGGCTATAGAAGCAACCGACCATGCAGACTCTTTGACATATTTTGTAAGGGACTCTCCATCAAATGCCACGCTTCTTAGACAGGCTAAGGGTAAAGGTCGCTTTTTTATTATTTAATCAAGTAAGACCCACTTAGCTAAATAACTCTTTTTCAGAAAAGCAACCTGGCCACAAATGATAGCTCAATGAAGTGGTTTAGCGTGTTGAAATGTATAACAGCCAAATGCTCTTGAACGCGTGATATTGATTCTAAATTATGGAGGGAAAAACCGGAAGATCCGGAGAAAAATCCACTGCGACCATAGGGAGAAACAAGCAAACTCCAAATCTACAGGCGTCAGGGAGTTAACATCTTGTCACCGTGACGGCCTATACCTGTTTCCTCCGGCCATTGGAAATAAGTAATATCCTCCTAGTCCATCCACCTGATTCGAGGAAATTATAATCTATTTTTATTTTACCAGGTGGGCCCACTGAATTATATATATCTTTTTCAGAAGCGACCTGGCCACAAACGATGGCTCAACGAAGTGGCTTTCCAGGTGTAAATTTACAGCAGCCGAATATCCTACACGCACGTTTCGAAGTGTGGAGGGAGAAACCTGGAGGATCCCGGAGAAAAATCCACTAAATCACAGGGAGTACATGCAAACGCCAAATATACAGCAGGCGTCAGGGTCGGAATCAAACCCACGACCTCCTGCATACCAGGCGAAGGAGTGAGCAATTCACACGCATGCCAGCACTCAGTCACATCCTTATCACTCCTCTATCACTGCAACCGTGGTACGTTCTCCCCATAAACTTTACTCATTGATTCCTCCTCGCATGTCGGGTACTCAGTCTTCCAGTTTGACTCTTGAGGCTAATCCATACTATGGCCAACAGCCACACACTTCTTTCCCCTTTCTGCTTTTTTTTTTGTTGCAATGCTCAAACCTTGGAAGGCCCTTCCATCGTCTCCTTTTCCAAGATTATAATATCCGAGAATGATTCAAGGGATGTGTTGATGTTCAACTATTTCAAGGCCACTTGGCGAGTAACAAACGGCACTATTGGCAATTGCAGGCCTTCAGGGCCTGTGCTAAGCAACTCTGGTAAAAATATAATTCAGCTTCTGCATTCTCCTCCGTCCCACCCGAAAAAATGAGTGAAACAACTAGGTATGAAATTTGCAGTACACGGATAAAAAAACCATAGCGCAAGTAGTTGGTCCTTTGAGTCTCAGCCACTATTCACGAAGCAAAATTTACGTGTAAAGGTTGGTAAGTTTCCAGGACAGAAAAAGATTAGTATTATTAATTGGGGTTTTCCGACATTTTTCTCCAATTGTAGGACTATGAGTGTAACGTTATGAGATGAAAAATCAATCTAGAGCTCCCACATCAGCGTTAGAGCATGGCCTATTGAACCAGATATCACAGCACTACTTCTGAGATCCCTTCATGTGACCTCTTATCTACATTCAGGGGTATAATGTTCCCACCCACCGTTCTACAAAGTAATGTACATCAAATCACTGTCATACTGATCTTTTTTTATTTTCCGTGGCTGGAATTGAGTCATAGAGTGTTAAAAAAACCACACATTTTATGTGATGCTTTTTTGTGTAGTCATTTGTGACAAGGGCCATAGTCTACATTTGAGTAAAGGCAACAGTGCCATATTTTGTGCAACAGAGGGCAGTGCTGTGCTAACCAACTGTTGGCTGCACTCCTATGCTCTGACGCATCTGCCCCGGACCTTCAACATGCACTGACTCGCATGGTTACGTATGGTCAAGTTGCTCCCAGGACCTGCACAGCATCGGGCTGGCACTCATCTAGCAGTTGATTGACAATATGGCCGTATACCTGTATATATATGTATCTATCGGTGACCAGGCCAAGACATTATCTCACAATCCTTGATAACCTGGTTTAATCATGGACAGCCATCCAGACTTTCTGGTATTTCAGTAAAAAAAGATACATACAATTACGGGGGAGTGATGATGTCAATATGACCGTGTTGCAGAAATCGAACGTAATCTATGATGCAGTTGCACTGCTGCGGTGTTGCCAAAGCCTTATTACTGGCTTTGCTTTGTTCAAAATAGGGACAAGGGTCGTGGTTGCTCTCCAAAGCCTTCGGCCTTGTGTACAAATGGGCCAGCCAACTTTTCATCTGCCACAGTTGTGAGATTGAATGAATAACTGCCGTCCGAGGCTCCCCCAATGGCGCAAAAGCTCGCGAGTTATGGTTGGCACTGCCACCACAAATATCGATGTAAGGCTTTGGAGCAAACCAATGTGCGATGGAAACGGTGGGTTGGTTCCCTTCTTGTTTGAATTGTTTAAAACAAAAATAAAAAAACTTTATGGAAAACGATATAATTTACGTGGTGCAAACCTGGTTACATTCCTGGAAAATGTCCGTGTTGGGCAAATCCGCGTTCTACTAGGTGACAGACCTTATGGAAAATATAGGGTTGCGTTCCTGGGTCTGAAATTATCACCCCCTCCCTCTTTGTTGAACTAATTCTACAATATTTCCACCCTTGTTATTCTTATTAAGGATTCTGAGTCGTTATTCGTTTCTTGCGTGTGTGTGTACACTATTTTAAAATTTCACCTCAATACAAAACCCCCCGTGTTCATTTTTCTTCCCACACCACGGGACTCAGGGCCAACGCTCGCCCCTGACATTGAATTTTCTAACCTCATTCCCCATTCGTCCATATCTAGATGAACCAATCAGCGTCTGATTTTTGCTTCTGTCTGGATACGTCAGTCACTCGAACGTTAACGTGTCGCCATTCTAGGCGCCCGTACGACTGACATGCTCAAGGAGTGAATGGTTAGAGGCATGCGGCACTGTGTGAACATTTGCGTTGGCCCATTGTGTGCGTGGAGTGTGTTACATTATCAAGCAAAAACATATAAAAAAACACATAAACATACATGGTAACTAATCGCTATCACAGTCGATTCATTCACACCTTCCAATGGATGCAGCACTCTCATGGAACAATTTTCTGGCGCAGATGAGAATCTTAGCAGCGTCAAACCACGTAGAGCCAAAACATCATCCCCCGTGTTCCCGAAAACAGACTTCATCACTTAAACCGTGTACAGGTATATTCAAAACGTGCAATCAACGAAGCTGCATTGGGCAAGGTTTTCCCGCATTCATTGAATTTTCGCTTTTTGCTAAATCAATTTTGGTGCACTCGCATAACTGGCGCTTCTTTTTCAATGGTGCTATTGTGTCTTCAACAAGCCTCCGCCTCGCTTCGAAAACTGAGGGATGGTGGCCGCACGCCATCCTGAGTGACTGAAGTGGCCTTGACACAGGTTCGCACCGCGGAGGGAGTGTGCTGTGCGAGGGGGGGGGGGTAGCTGCGTACCTGGCAGATGATGCTCGGCACCCAGGGCCAGCCCGTCCTTGGTCCACTGCACAATGCCCGAGTAGTTAGCTACCACGCACATGAGCGTGACTGGCTGGCCGGCCACCACCGAGCAATCGGATGGCTCCTGTGCGAAGGACGCCCTTGCGCTCACTGCAGAGGTGGGGGACGGGGGAGACAACAAGAGAGCAAGAGGAGTGAAGCAGTTTTGCATGGCAAGGTAGCAAGGTTGCATTCTTCTGTTCGGATATTTTTTTTCTTTCATGACATATGGGTGGCTCCTTAAACCATTGTGCAGGAGGCGTGTGCAGTGGGCGGTTAATGTAATGAACGTAACCTCTAGTCAACTGTGTGTGTGCGGGAGAGGCGGCATCATAATTAATAAAAAAAATAGGGGAAGCTATCCTTTGAATGTTGAGGCACGCGCCTGAACTTCACACAGACGAGGGCCACACAATTGCTCGCTCAGCATTGCATCGCCGCTCGCACGCAGCATTGCCATCGTCTTCCCGGTGCGCGCAAGGGGAATAAAAAAAATACGTGCTCGGCGCAATGACGAAGCCGGCACCATTTGCTGGAAACCGTTCACTGGCAAGCGGCTCAACTGCTGCAAGGCCCCCCACCAACCCCTCCACCCACGCATACACCCGCAATCACGAAGGAATCAACGTAAGCATGCATTGCAACCAGCGGCTTCCAGGAATGTGCCTGTGGCCTGCTGCCATTCGTGATGTTATAGGGAACAAATAGTCAGCCTGAGCCCCAGTGCAAAGAGGCCTACGGCATACATGTATTAAACGCCACCATTTGTCAGGGTTTAGGACAAGCAGTAAAAATGTCCGACTTCATATAATAACTGACATTTATATTTAATTTTAAATTACAAGTATTGATTCTCGACAAAACACTGGCACGCGCAAGAGAGGTGTTGTGAGTGGCAGAATTTCAGTGCACGGCCACCCCCCCCCCAGCAACCAGGAGTAGAATATTTAGGGGGGGGGGCAGCAAGTCTCTGGACTCTGGTTTGCTGGAGCTACTCTTGCTCGCAGTGCCGAGGACATGCCGATGTGCACCGTTGTGGCCCGACGCGGCCTCGAAACGTACAACTTCATTCGTTAAACCTGTTCGGTGCAGCGCATTCAAAGTGCCAAGCCGTAACAATGTCAGTCCTCGTTTGTGTTGGACGGACACGTGAATTTCACATTTGAGTTTTCTTTTTTGTCTCTTCCACCCTTCTACGTAAATTGTTGCACGTTAAAAAAGGGCAATTGATATACAAAGTAAGTCATAAACGCATTCAAGGACACAGGTTATGTTCAGAAACGTACATGGAACTCGGTTTGTGTAGTTATCCATCGTGAGGCCAGTTAGAATGGCACCTTATTTGAATCGGATTTATAGAGCGACCATAATATGATGGTAGTCGGTGAAATGTATTGCAGTGAAGAGTCTCTTCAAAGTAAAAGTGGGGATTTGGGCTTCAAGCAGCGTTTACCCTTGGCACGCCATGCAGCAAAAAGCAGCGACGTCAAGAGCAGACACCAGGCCACTCCTCGGTGACCTTGTCTGGCTGGTGGCTGTGGCTCGGCATTGCCCGATGAAGCGACGATTTATTTCATTACTCATTAGCGCTGCCCGTTAGTGGGCAGTTCATTAAGAGTGGCAGTCCATTAAGCATCCTTTTTTTTCCCTCTCTGACCATCGCCTGTGACTGCTAATGCTTTTAATTATACCACAAGCCGGTGGTGCTGATTGAGGGAACAGCGCGTGGTATAGATCTGGAGCCTTTATTTGGCTGTAGTTCCCTATCAATTGGACACATGGGTGCTCAATCACTGGTGGCATATTTGCCGTTTAATGCAATAAATTGCTGCTTTATTACGCGGCGGCGCAACTTAGAAATAGTCTTGTCATTAGCGAGTCCATCTCCAGTGCCTGTTCTCCGTGCGTTTTATGGCATTTGTGCGAATCTCTTGCCAACTGCGTGGATGGCAGAGCTCCAGCATGGTGCCACAAATGGGACAGGTCTTATTTTCACTCACAAATCTATAAAAAGAACAACGACCATGGAATAAACATTGGAGATAAGACTTGCATCGGACGTAGTTCCAGGAAGGTACAGAGTTTATTGGATAATGGTTTAAAATACTTAAATACTATGTGGTGTATCGTTTAAAGATCTAAAATCTAAAGCCATTTCATCCGACGGCTAAATCCGAGCGATCACAAAGTGTTTGATCCTTTACCGTGCGTTAATCTTACATTCTCCACAAATATAAAAAAAAAAATCCGTAGATCATAAGACAAGCAGAGGTCACAGAGACTGCCTTGGACTGGAAAACGGGACCACAAAGAGTCTAAAGAACCCTTTCCCTGCATTCCAGAGGGCCGGGGAGGGCCATCGGTGAATACTCACACACACACAGGCCATTGTGGACTAATCACACACACAGGCCATCGGCGACTAACCACACACACACACACAGTCGGTGACAATAGCAGCATTTGTTATGATCACATAACTGATCGTAAAACATATTGCTTTCAGTGTTGTTTACCAATTAGTGTCTTGGGAATGCGACACGGTTAGGTGCAATGTCCCATTAATTTGCTTCGTGTGCTTTGTTGAAATGTGCGAGATGCGGCATCGCAATTACCACCATCATTGCTGCCACTGTTCCTTTGTGTGGCTTTCATCCTCACTTTGATTCCAACATATTTCTTTTGCACAAGATAAATGTCTCGTGATAGCAGGTATGAGTTTGTTTTTCAAAGTGAAATGCACGTTAGTTTTCCTGTTTTGATCTCTAAACTGTTTAATTTTTTTTCCACGAAAAGAACAACACAATTACCTCTCTAATGATGGCAACTTAAATAAGCACCGCGATTTGTAATTATACCAAAACCATGGCCATGCGCAGTGACAACTATCATACAGGGGACGTGAAACTTCAAAATCACAATCAATGCAAGGCAACACACAAACGTAATCGAACAAATCAAAGCTACGATTTAACAAGTGTCGATTTACACAGTACGTTCCACCAACGTTAAATTATATGACTATGCTGGATTAAAATAACATTCATAGGGGACATCGGAAACCAAGTATAGTTTCTTGAAAGTAAAACTGTTTCATTTATTATTCCACGAAACCAAAACAAAATAATGTTGTGCAGATATTTCCCACAATATTTTGAGTTATATTTACATGGTCTGAAATAAACAGGCAAAATAACATATATACACACAGTATATGAATGACAATACCACATCACCTACACTGACCTTTGGTTGGTAACTCAAAAAATGTTCAGATCCCTCACTACAAGGACATGTGTTTGCTTTAAGAAAAACATACAAAATGGTCCACATGTGCTCGTGCCCACGCATGCCCATGTATGAGCCAATGTTTGCTGTTTTCGCCAACGACACGAGCAATTGCCTTTAAATTATCCTCCACAGCCAGAATGAGGACAAGGCCGTCATCTCATCATCGTTTTCCATTCTCTACCCACTGCTAGATGTGTGTGTATATTTCGCTGCAAGTCATCACCATATCTCACAGTCTCACTTGTGAAAACGATCCATCTTGCTTCCACACAAACGAGCTGATTTGTGCAGCTCTGATCTCTGGTAGGCGCATACGGTGGTAGCGAGTATAATTTATATAACCTCGAGATGGAATATAGGCTGATTTGAGGCACACTGCCTCTTTTTCAAGGGGTGATCTGAGTGGATGTACTTCCCGGTTCATGTTTTACTCCTTTGGCTGCCATTCTGTCGTTAGTCTCGACCACGGTGCCTCCTGTCCCAAGCACGTGTACTTTTTCCTAGCAGCCAAGGTGATGTCTCTAACTCTCGTGTGTTCTCGAAAAAATGTTTTGTTCATCATCATCTACTAACTACCGGCTATGACGAATGGATCTGAAATATGGACACTGACAAGAATATGGAAATTTCGAACTAAGACGGTGACTGCATTGCACACTTTCAGATGCACTTCTGCGGCCATCCGGAACGCCCTTCCTTCTGATATTTGGAAGCAACTGGGAGCTGTGCACGCTTACATCTAGATTGAAAACGAATTTCTTTAGAACGGATTTTTGTGTTGATTTTGTTGTCATTCCCCCGTACCTACGATTAGCAGGGTTGGCTATGTACGGTGCGAAAGAAGTTCAACGTACATACATACATACAATGAAAAAAATGAACAAGAACTGAAAAACGTCTCAATTTCACTGAGCGACAAAAAGAGGAGACACGTGCATCAGGGTGATGATGCACATTAGAGGAGACATCACATTCACTATGCGGAAAAGTGCGTGGGCTTGGGCAGGGCCATCATTGGTATGAACGATGGGCCGGTGGTCAAGGCTAGTGACGGGAGTGGCGGCCAAACGAGGATGACGCGATAGCACTTCCACTGTGGAGACGGAGTGACGAGATCGACCCGTGTCCAGGAGCAAGACGGATTGCTGCATCACATGCATCATCTCCCTGATCCATGTGTTTGCTTTATTTTTTGGCTCCACCTCCAGTTTGCACGGTTGGCTACGTACGGTGCGAAAGAAGAGCAACATACCAGATGTACATACGTGCGACAGGCGCACGAGGAGACAGGAAGAAGATCAGAGAAGGGCAGGGCGCACGTTCCGTAATGCACGATTAGATAGCAAATCACACGCGTGTCCGCACAGATTGCCCGCGCATCTGCGAACGAATAGCACAACACTGATTGGCTGCATGTCGTTCCACACTTCCCCCACCAACCACCTATCCCCATCCCACACCCGTCAAATAAAAAAATCCCCACTAACTCAACTGAAGTTAACCTGAAACAGATGGTCGTGCGCTTCCAACCACGTCATGCCTCGTCAGCCAGATAACATTTTACCCAGCATGCCGTGCATCTGCTAAAATACGCGTCCCCACCAACAACCCTACCCTGTCCCTCAGGAGGTTCGCCACCTCCGAGGCAAGAATATCACACGATGCCGGAAAATTTTAAACTACGTGTAAACGCATTGTCAGTGGGGGGAATTTTTTAATTTTAATGTCCATGGAATAATTTTTTTTTCCCAGGACAGCTACCTCAAAAAAATTCTACGATCCGAGTAATACCAGGACAGGTGGTAACCGGAGTCCTCCATTACAGTGGATAATAACAAAACAAAATAGCAGGCAATCAAAAAATAATCTGACAAGAATTGTCAACCATTCCTACTCGTCAATTTCGAATCTAGCATTGAATCTGGCGTCACAAAAATGGCAAGTTGTCCTGAACTCACTTTAAAATGCTGCATATTATTTGAATGGACACGCATTAAAACATGCAACTGTTCTGTCGTATATAAAAAAAAAATATTATTTAAATATTTGATTTCATTAAATGCTGCCTAAATTTTTCAGTCGATGATGCTGGTGGTTGGTCAAAATTGTTGTGCTCTAACACCACCAGGAGTGAGTTCTAGCTCATGATACAATTGGCACAACGAATTGCTTTGGAGAGAGCCTAATACATGTGTAATGACAGGTTGACACCTGCCGGCCTGTAAGGGTAATTACAGTTATAGCTGCATTACATAATGCCTCATTATGAAGGGGCGTATCTAGGGTAAAGGTCAAGGGCGGAGTCAGTCGCGAAGCTCCGGGAACCATCCCGAAGGGTCTAGAAGGTTCTCCAGGCAGATAGAAGGGGCACCGAACCAGAGCTTCGGGACTGTTAGCGTGGGGTCTGGGTTCTGGTTGCGTCGCTGCCTCCGTCATCTCTTCGTCTTCGACCACGTGGCTGTTCTTCTGCAAGACCAGCTCCATCGCCGCCGCTACGCTCGTCAGCCAGCCAGCCAGCGTAGCGCAGGAACGGAGATGGGCTGTGTGATTGGACAGCGTAGGTGTAGCCGCGTCACGAAGTGTCTCGCCCTGCGTGCTCTTAATAAGTAAGAAGCCTTCTACTAGACGTGTGTCGGAAGTCGCTCACTACACATGTGTAGTACTCTGCCAAAGCATGGTGCAGTTCTCTCAAAACAAGTGCACAAAGCGTGCGTCATTGCCACGTCAATAAATGACAACATATATGTTTCATTATTTATAGTTCTTTGTCAATCCTCCTGCTGGATGAAGTCCACCCCACTCCATGTCAGTCACGGGGATTTGTTTGACCACACTTCACCACGCTGATCTGTGTGGGTTTGTGATAAGGGTTGCTAAATGACCAGTTCATATATCTCTCACCACTGAATTCAAACTCAGGGCACTAGGTGCGCTTACCACTGCACCGCCACCCTACCGCCCAATAGCCCAAGATCCCGTATAATCATTGCATCTAAATGAGCCAAAGGTGGATTGTGTTACATACAGCTCAATCTGCCAGAGCCAATGGAATGATATAAATAAGTAAATACAACGATCTGCATTCGCTTTTTGCAAATGGTTCTGTAGTTGGAACCCTGAGAAACAAACACTAAAGCAATGCCCATTGCACTATTTTATCACTGACTGTTGAGGTGGTCTCAAAGGGAGGCGCATGTAAGTGTCATTGGCTTATTTATTTGTCTGAGCGTCCCACTAACACATTTGCACTTCGGCCCG